AGGGAGAGGGCACAGCACTGCCAGGGAGAGGGCACAGCCCTGCCAGGGGAGGGCACAGCACCCCGAGAGAGAGGGCACAGCACCCTGAGGGAGAGGGCACAGCACTGCCAGGGAGAGGGCACAGCACTGCCAGGGGAGGGCACAGCACCCCGAGGGCTCCACGGCTGCACTGGGGACTGTGGGGCCTTCACATCCAGGCTGGCAAGCCCATGAAGCCCCCTTCCCCCAGGGACACTGCTCTGGGCACACGCTGCCACCCTGGGCCAGCTTGAGGAAGCCTGGAAATGGCTTTGATTTGAGCTGAGGTATGTGCCATGGGCCTTACTGAGCACGGGGAGCTGAAGAGCCAGAGGGAGCAGCCTCACGCAGTCACCATCCACACGAGGAGGCCGTGGGGGGGAGCACGTGGCAGTCTGATACATTCTTGGATTTCAGTGCAAAACCATGGCAATCTGTCTCTCGTGCACCTGCAGAGCTTGGCTTCCTCTCTGTCTCCACAGAGGAATTTCAACCTTTGGTAACATGGCAGAAAAATGGGACAGAAGGAGCCTAGCTGACACCAGAGCTCCAGCCACAGGGAGCTCCTAAAGAGCCTTCAGGCTGGAATCAGCATCTCTAAAGCTCTTGTCCAATGAACAACAAGCTTTGATGCTTAAATACCAGATTTGGAAGTTTCCCCTACCCTACTGCCCCTAGTTCCCTGCCCTCCTCCAGTCCCTGGTGCCACCAGCCTGTCTCCTCTGGGGACCCAGAGCACCCGGCTGCCCAGGACAGCAGCACCCAGTGGGCACTGCCTGCAGGAGAGCGTGGCTCAGCCAGGCACAGGGTGACAGCCCAGCACAGCACCCCTCAGAGCAGGGTGCAGGACCCAGCAGTGCCCTCACCAGACCGTCAGGGTTTAGGAGGAGTTGGGAGTTTTTGGCCTATCCTAGGAACTGGGTGCTGGACACAAGTGAGCGTGAGCTTCAAAAGTGAGAGGAGATTTCCCCCGTGCTGGAACCAGAGGAGAACTCAGCCTGGCCTGCACAGGGACAGAAGCACAGGGGGCTAGAGGACACTTCCACATGACACCAGTATGTTACAGACAAAGAATAAAGATACTGTATTGCACTAAACATGCAGATTCCACATGGGGTTCTGGGAAACAGGAGTTTCACTTTGTCCAGCGTGTTGAGCACAGAGGAGTAAAGATCCCAGTGTATGTTCTCCAGGTTGGTCACTTTTCCAGCTGTTGATCTTGCACTTGGTCCCCCTTCAGTCTAGAGTAGGAACTCTTGCAAAAGAAGCCAAATCCATCAGGAAAGCATGCACAGGTATGAAAGCATCAAGCACACACTGGAACCCACTCACAGGCAGCCACTGCTGGAGCTGCCCCAGCACAGGTCCCGCCCCACGGGGATTAGAAAGTCACTTCCTAGGAGATGCCACTGTCAAGACTGGGCTCAACTACTCCCTGTGACACCTACAG